ACCTTTACTAATATTTTTTGTACTGTGATATGTTGTAAAAATGCAATAATTAGGTGGGAAAGTTGAAACATTTAGATTTTGCAGATGATTTGCTTTGTAGATGATTCACCAGAGTGGAAACTGTGTGTGTGTTTACAGGTATTACAGTGTTCCTATAACAACTCTGGATTTCTCCTCACTGTATCCCTCCATCATGATGGCCCATAATTTATGTTACACTACACTCCTGCAGAAAAGCCAGGTGGAGAAACTCAGGTGAGAGGAGTGTGTGTGTGTTATGTACTGTAAAGCGTTAAAATGATAGTTTCTTCAAATTGCCTTGATTTTTTTTTTTTATTGTGATCTACTTCATTTTGTGAATTAATAAAGCTTTGTATTTGTGTGTGTGTGTGTGTGTGTGTGTGTGTGCACGTTTTTAGTCTTTCTCCAGAAGATTTCATCAAGACCCCCACAGGTGATCTGTTTGTGAAGAGCTCTGTGAGGAAGGGCCTTCTCCCTGAGATCCTAGAAAACCTGCTGAGTGCCAGGAAAAGGTGATTTCAACCATTAATAGAAATAAAGTTTGTTAAACTATTCACAACTGATGATAAATAGTTAAGTGTAATTAAAAATGTATTATTTTGCCCCAAATTAGTTTGTGTTCTGTATTTTTCTGTTATTCAAATCTTGGTCTCTTTTGATGTGCCTCTAGAGCAAAGGCAGAGCTGAAGAAAGAGACAGACCCCTTTAAAAAGCAGGTGCTGGATGGAAGGCAGTTGGCTTTGAAGATCAGTGCAAACTCCGTGTACGGGTTCACTGGGGCTCAGGTGGGCAAACTGCCCTGTCTGGAGATCTCACAGGTCAGTTTCAGCACTCACACATGGATGAATACCATCAGATGGTTTTAAACAGAGATGCTTTAAGAGATGCAGGTTTTTCTCTTTCATCTGTAGAGCGTCACAGGCTTTGGTAGGCAGATGATTGAACAGACCAAACAGCATGTGGAATCAAAATACACGATCTCTAATGGTTACCAGGCAGATGCAAAGGTATTTAATCACATAAACCTGTTTTTACCTTTGTTTCAATGCACTAAAAAAACATGCAATGATGCAAGTCAAATGTGTTTCAGGTCATCTACGGAGACACAGACTCTGTGATGGTGAAACTAGGTGTGGCCACAGTGCAGGAAGCAATGAATCTGGGAAAGGAGGCAGCTGATTGGGTCTCCTCCTACTTTGTTCCACCAATCAAATTAGAGTTTGAAAAGGTACAGAAAACACTCCCAAGATTTCACAACAGAAGCCATCAAATATTATTCGTAACAAGCTTAATAATCTCTTTCACACTTTTTCAGGTGTATTACCCATATCTGTTGATCAATAAGAAGCGGTACGCCGGGTTGTATTTCTCTTCTAATGCTGAACATCATGATAAGATGGATTGCAAAGGAATTGAGACGGTCAGACGAGACAACTGCCCTCTAGTGGCCAACCTTATCAACACATGCCTCCAAAACATCCTCATTGACAGGTACAAACATTGCCACACTCAGAAAACTCCCATGTGCTCAGATACGCAACCGTGACGCTCAGATACGCAACAGTGACGCACAAACTAGCAAGTGTAAGAGTGAAGACATGACCCTACAAGCCTTAATAAAAGACATTTTTGAGTATGTTCTGGTTGCAACACACTTTGCATATACCAACACGCACATTAATTCACATGGCATGACGATGTGTTTTGTGTTTCAGAGACCCTGATGGGGCAGTAGCTCATGCTAAAGAGGTGATCTCTGACCTTCTGTGCAACCGCATTGACATCAGTCAGCTGGTCATAACTAAAGAGCTCACACGCACCGCACAGGAGTATGCCGGCAAACAGGCCCACGTCGAGCTAGCTGAGAGGTGTGTTTGGTTTTATTATCTTAACTGTGAGTTTGTACCTACAAAATTCTCCATTCTGACACTGAAATATGCCATTTGTGTGATTCAGGCAAATCTGAGTTATTTTTATTTGTGAGTATCTGAAGAGGACTGTGTATAGAAAAGTTTAGATGGCAGTCCTCTGTATGATGCCTGAAAAAAGGGATGTTTATAAGTGCAGCTGCTTTGTGCACAAGGATATTCATGGTAACCTCTGTAATTTTGTTTTTCCGTTAGCGCCACCTACTGTCAGAGTACATTTTCATTTAGACGGTCTGTTGTTTTTGTTCAGAACAGGGTTTGTTAACTAAAACTAAAACCAATTAAGAAAACACTTAAAATACTTAAAATAAAACGAGCATTAACTGAAATTAAATGAAATATTTTTTTAAAAGTACATTTAGTTTTATTTCAGCTAGCTGCCAAGGCGACATCTCACTTTTTAGTTGAACTAGAAGTACTAGAATAACTAAAACTAATTTAATAAATACAAACTATATTTATATTTAAATAAAAAACGAATAAAAATGGTACAAAAGCAAATTACTAAAATTGTCAAATTAAAGTGATAACAGAAAATATATATAAAAAATCTAAATATTAACAAAAACTATAATATATCAATAATTCTAAAATAACACTGGTTTGTTTTTGTTGAAATTTTTATTAGTTAAACTCTGAAGTTGTTTAAAGTTTTTCTGGTCGTTTTACAGTTTAGGATGTTATCGTAGACATTGGTGTTTTTTCAAACGAATGTTGCCTCCTAGACAACATGTTGTTCTATTCTAATATGAAAATATTCCGAAATTATTTCATCTGCTTATTCCAAGAAATTTTTTGAGGAAAAATCCAGAGTTTGCAGGTATGGACTTAGCATTTAATCGCTTTCTGCAATCGTGGGTTTCAGGATGCGGAAGCGTGATGCAGGTAGCGCTCCAAACCTCGGAGACCGAGTCCCGTACGTCATCATCAAAGCAGCAAAGGGAGTGGCAGCATATATGAAATCAGAGGTCAGTGTTGTCTATCTGTTTGTATGTATGTGGCAGATTTTCCTGTACTGTAGTTGTTTATGTTGAGTTCTATCTCTCAGGACCCCATCTATGTGCTGGAGAACAACATCCCTATAGACACACAGTACTATCTGGAGCAGCAGCTGTCCAAACCTTTACTGCGCATCTTTGAACCCATACTGGGCGAGAGCAAAGCTGAGAGTGTGTTGCTGAGTGAGTATCGTCTATTAAGCTTGCAAACATAGCATGTTTAAAGATGGCATGAAATGAAAATGATCTGTATTGTAATTGCATGTTATAGATCTTATTTTGAATGATTCTGTCATATAGGAATTTTATATAGGAATTTCATAAATGTTTTATTTTGGAATTTTTTATAATGTTTCAGATGTCTTGTGAAACGATAGACTTTCTCTGTTGACGTTTGGCAGTAGCCTAATAATATTGATTTAAGTTCCACAAACCTTAAGTACACCAAACAGTTCTGGCTTCATTTCGAGTTAGACATCACTGAAAGTAATGACTTGCAGTTTCATGAAAGGTGAAAGATAAAAAAAAAGGTCCATGAATGAAACGCAGCTCACACTTTCAAAGCAAGCAGCTTTCTGTGACCCACTTGAACCCGCTGCTAAATCTGTCTGGGAAAATGTTTGGCCTTCATACGAAACTCTCAATCACATGGATTCCTATTGAAAGGACTGGATTTTGCCTGCACAAATTCACAGAACAACAGTACTCAGAACTCACTTTAAGTGAGTCGGACACTAATTCAGTTACCGCTCTGGCCAATTCAGCGAGTTTATTTAGTGAAGGATTTTTCAGTCTGATTTAAACTCTTTAGACTCTTCTGAGTCTTTATGAATGATTAATTGAAACAGCCAGCTCATAAGAGTATTTATTTGTGAAACTACACTGTTTCTTCATATGTTTTTGAGTGCAGCCAGCAAGAACTTCAGAATAGAAAGACATTTTTATTGTTTTGTTATATAAACCCTGTTTATCTCATCAAATTCATTTCAAACTGCAAACTCTGATAAAATCGGATTTCTTTCAGAAATGAATCCGCTAATGCATCTGCTTTTGTGTGTTGTTTCAGAGGGCGATCACACACGCTGTAAGACGGTCTTGACGTCTAGAGTTGGTGGTCTCATGGCTTTCGCTCAGAAACGAAGCACTTGCATTGGCTGCCGAGCTGTGCTCAAAACCGATGGTATGTATTTGGTGTGTGTGGGTGGGTCTCAGTAGTACCACAACAAATCACAAAACTGATGTATTTCTGATGGTTTACCTCTCTACAGTGGCTATATGCGACTTCTGCAAAAAGAGAGAGTCGGAGCTTTATCAGAAAGAGGTGTGTTTTTATATGTACAAATCTTGGCAAACTTGTCTTCATAAGTGGGGCTGAAGATTGTTTGTCTGTCTTTTAGATCGCTCATCTGTCAACTCTAGAGGAGAAATTCTCTCGTCTGTGGACTCAGTGTCAGCGCTGTCAAGGTTCACTGCATGAAGACGTGCTGTGTACCAGGTATTTACACACATGTGCACACTAGGCCTGGACAATATATCAAATATTCACTACAT